CCCCCCGGACTAGTGTGCTTGCCCCTGACTTGCCTCCTTTCTGCTTCTGTGCTCTTGGGCGGGATGAACTGGGGTCTGCAAGCTGTCACAGAGGGGTAGTTGTGAACGCAAGGAAGCACAGACCCCAGAACTTGGTTTCGAGCGCTCAGAGGTGACTGGGTGTCCTTTGCTTCTTTTCTTAGCGCCTTCGTGCACGCAGGGCGGCGCGCGGAGAGCGGGCATCATGACCGACGTCCACCGGCGGTTCCTCCAGTTGCTGATGACTCATGGGGTGCTGGAGGAGCGGGGCGTGAGACGCCTGCAGAAGCACTGCTATCGGGTCCATGGCCGTGAGTACCGTCTCCCTGTCCCCAGGGTGCCCGGGACCGCGCCATCGGCGGCTGGTGACACGGGTGTGAGCCTCGCCACCCGTCAGGCAGCACGCCTCACCTGGGCGTGCAGGTCTCCTCGGGCTCGTGCCAGCCCGTTTCTCACCTCCTCTTTGACCTTTTTTTTTCTTTGTAAGCAAATCTGACATTTAGCCCGGTCGATGGGAACTTGAAGCGGCCTAGCTATGGTTCACAGCAGGGCCCCAGCATCTTCTCCAGCCTGCGTTTCTTCATGTCTCAAATGAAGACAATTAAGCATCCTGGACACCGTGGAGGGAGGGGGGTTCGGAGGGTTAAGAGACAAGATGCGTCCAGAGTTCCTGGCCAGGCCCGGGGAACGCACTCCCTTGGCCGTGGCGGGTGAGAGGGCCGCTCGGCACAGTGGGTGAGAGCACAGCCCTGGACTCAGCCAGACCCGGGGCAAGGGCCGCCCTGCCCTGTGCGGGGGGTGGGTGCTTGAAGCATCTCCTCAGTGGGCTGCTCAGAGGGGAGGGAAGGTAACACAGGCGAAGCACTCAGGCCGGGCCGGGCCGAGTTTTCAGTAATGGGAGGGAGCCGTAGAAACAGCAGAAAGGATGCCAGCATGTCAGTAAGATCCGCATTGGTAGCTCTCGTGGAGTTGAGCGTCAGTGTGGGGAGATCTTGTTGTGTGAAAGAGGAAGTGGATAAATTTCACTCGCTGCACGATGTCACTGCGTTAAGCTTTTTGTAAAACCAGGATTCTTGTTGTTCGTGAACACACACATCTGCACATAAAGATGTAAGAGTGCACCGGAAGGATATGTGACAGACACACTTGTGAGGTGCTTGCCTTTGGGGAGACAACAGAAGACACCTTGGTCTTTATCCTCTTTTGGTCTTTCATTAAAGAAAAAAGAAAGAGTCGAAGCAAACAGGGTATTAGTAGTGTGGCCTAATAACAAGCGTCACTTCTGATGAACGGGAGTACAGGTGTTTGTTTATATTCTTTGTTTTTGTCTTTCTGTCTGTGTGTTTAGTTTTCAAGAGAAGAGCAGAAACTGCATAGAGGGAAGCCAGCCAAGAGGGGTGAGGAAAGGTGTGCGTGGGGCGCCAGGGTTACGGGTGAAGGCACACGAGAAGAGGGGCCGCATTTAGGGACCAGCGCCCGGGGCATAGCAGAAGAAGCCAGATCGAGAGAGGTGAAGGGTGGATGGGAGCAGGAAGGGCGAGACAGAGGGCATAGAGACAGGCGCTTTTCCGTGACGAGTGGGAGGGAGAGCAGAAGGTGCGTAGCTTTGGGGGGACTGGCCCCTCGAGGCATCCCGTGCGAAATTCTGGGCCTGCTGGTCCACGCTGACAAATGAAATGCTTGCAGGCGTCCTACGGTGAGGAAACTTGTGTAACTTTGTGTGATCCCATGTATCCAAACTTCGTTGACCTGCGCCTGACATCCTTTGGGAGACCCCAGGCAGGAAAGCACGATGTGTGGGAACAACATATGTTCTTTTGGCGTGTAGGTTTACACATCAGGAACAACCTGTCGTATAGACACCACGGTAGTGGGGTTTCTTTTGTACTTAGTTCCGGGGACAGGGTGGATGTCTGGAAGGACTTGAAGCAGGGAAAGCACATCATTAGTGCTGTGCTGGAAGACTCTCCTTCTGGTGAAGGCATACCCGCTCTACTTGGCCGGCGCTGGGGTGAATAGAGGGCTTTGGTGAGGGCCTCCTTTATGGAAAAGGAACATTACATCTGCCAAGCTAGCTGTCCTTGCTCTGAAAAAACACAAGAGGATTTTAACCACCCACCCCTTGGTATGCTCCAGTGAAGGGCATAAGAATGTTTTTCTTAGTTTTTTGACTACATGGCAGTTCATTTCTGTTCGTCTTCAGTTTCTCATGTAAGTCCTAAATGTGGGCTTTAATGCTAATGGGGAAGTTTCGTAGCTCACTGCAAGGAGCCACATGCTGCCTTAGTACTAAGAATGAAAGTGTTTTTGCCTTTGTTTGACCTTTAAAGCTGTTATGACCTAATTTAGGAAAGTCCTGTACAATATATCTAGGAATTAATTTATTCTTCATGTTTTATGTGCCCTATCTGTGCATCATGATAAAGTGACGGCTGGGTCATCAGGATAGAACTGTAGTTCATTTTCCCCTAGCCTTCATTTAAAAAAAAAAAAAAAAGAAAAGAAAAAAAAGCTTTTTCTCAAGGAGTGTTATTTTAGAGATTTTAAAGCAAGGAACGTTAGAAAGAAATTATTCAAATTAAGTAAATACTTACAAGACCCACCATTATTATCTGTCTTTTGAAGAGATGCCCAGGAAAGTCCCCTTTTACCAACTGGAAAAACACTTAGCTTCTAAGATAATTATGAAACAGAAGGGTATTTGAGTCTGTGAGTTATTGTGATTACAGTTTCCCATGGATTTTCATCCAGCTTATCAAAAATACTTCCTATTCTGGGCTCTGGTTTGGGCTGTCTTCTTCCCGTTACTAGTGGGAGAAATAAATTCCCCAGTTCTCTTGGCTAGCGAGAGTTCAGATTTCGTTCTGGCGTGCTGGCTTTGTAAAGCCTCGTGTCTGGACTCTCCGAGTGGCACCGGGGACCCGCGTGCGCGAAGAGGGCACCTTGGGTTGCGAGCCAGAGCTTGTGTATGTGCATGAGGTCACGCAGCACTGCCCGCCGTGGCCTCCTGTGGGCCAGGGCCCCGTGCTAGGGACTGGTGACGTAGACACACAGCTTTTGCTTTTGCCTTTGCCTTGGGTTTCGTGAGTCATGCAGACCAGACTCGTGATTCCAGGATAAGCCTCCCTTGACGGAAGTAGGGACAGGAAGCCTAGGGAGTGATGGTTAAGAAGACTTGTATTTGAGGATTTCCACTTTTGACCAAGATAGAGTAACAGGGACCGATTTACTTTCCTGTCTGAAACAATTAAAAGACGGACAAAATATCTGAAACCCTAGACTTTGGTCAGCGAAGCACAGTGATACCTTAAGAGACGGGCAGTGAAGGTTTTTCTCCCCTCCTGACACCAAATATGTGTTGTCTTTTCCAGCACCTCCTCTCCAGTTCTCTGGACACCAACTGGATGTTGGTCAGCTCGGTTCTGACACTGTTTACCGGGAGTTGGGGCCAGATCTCACGGTTACAGGGTTTCGCCCCACAAGGCTGCCCCCATTTCGGACGCCAGTCTCAAGTCTGGGCCACCTATACTTCTGACTGACCGGCTAGCAAGCGGGGAGTCCCATGACCCCTTCCTCAGGTTCAGTAATTTGCTCGAATGGCTCACAGAACTCAGGAAAACACTTGACTTACATTTGCTGGCCTATTATAAAGGATATAGCTCAGGAACAGCCAAATGGGAGAGATGCCTAGGGCAGGGTGGCCTAGGGGGGTGGGAGAGGCAATGAATTTCACTTTTCAAGTTCTTTTTTCCTCTCCACCTTGAGGACTTCCAAATGCCATCACACACATTTGAGGTTTTCATGGAGATTGCCACAGATGCGGCTTCCATGATGAACCACATCAGTGACAGCTCCCTCATTCAGTCCCTCTGTCCTTCCCCGAGATGGGGATGAGGCTGAAAGTTCCAGGCTTCCAATCAAGGCTTGATCTTTCTGGCAGCCAACTCCCATCCTGAAGTTCTTTAGACCTGCCTCCTCATAGAGAACAAAACACTTGTGTTACCCTGATCGCTCAGGAAATTCCAAGGGTTTTAGTTCTGTGCCAGGAACCAGGATGACAACCGGGCATTCTTTTTATGCCACAGGCAAGAAGGGAATGAGCACTACAGGTTGCCTCGCTCACTTCCCTGAGCCTGCTTGTGTAGGTCAGCGGGGCCGGGGTGGGGGGGGCGGAGAACCTGAGCAGAACGGGGCAGACTGGCTGAGCTGAGGGGATGGGGATGGGAATACTCAGGGAAACCAAAGCTGCCTGGCAGGTCGCAGAGGGGCGCAGAGAGAGCTGGAGGTGGGGGCTGTCAGCTGAGGGCTGAGCTACCCGGTGAGCAGCCTGAGGCTGGGCAGAGATGTGGTGGGAAGGATAAAGAGAGGGGTGGGGGGCGGGGGGAGCAGAATCACGCTGAGCCGGAAGCTGACCCCTGATTGGTTTTTGGTCGCGATCTCACACTTTTCTAGAATTCGAGGCCCACGTCAGGCTCTGTGCTGACGGCTCTGTGCTGTGGAGCCTGCTTGGGGTTCTCTATCTCCCTCTGTCTCTGCTCCTCTCTCTCTCTCACTCTCTCAAAATAAATAAATAAATAAATAAATACATAAATACATAAATACATAAATAAATAAATAAATAAAGACTAAGAGTGAAATAGTGCCTGGTGTCCACAGGGCTGGGAATCATGCCCACTCCAGGCACAGCGGCTTCCCTGGTGAGTTCTGCAAAGTGTTTAAGGAAGAGGTGCTACCAGTTCCACCCACGCTCCTCCAGAAAGTTGAAGACAAGGGAACGCTTCCCAGCTCGCTTTCTGAGGCCTGAATTATCCTGATACCAGAACTAGGCAATGACATTGCGAGGAGAGAAATCCAAAGGCCAAGGTCCTTCATGAATATAAATGCTAAAATTTTAAGCACACAGTTTTAGCAAATCTAATCCAGCAATATATAGAAAAGATGATACAATATGACCAAGGTGGGGTTTAGCCCAAGAATGCAGGGTGGGTTTAATATTTGAAAACCAGCCCATGTAGTTTGCCATATTAACAGACTAAAAAAGAAAAAGCATGTGATCCTGTCAGTAGTGCAGAAGACATATTTGACAAAATCTGATATCTATGTTGGCATGATGCCCCAAAGGTTTCTTACAGGAAACTACAGGGGAGAAGCAGATTTACAGGACAGGCTTAGAGCAGGAGAGAGGATTCAACAACTCTGCAGAGTTTATTTTTTTTTAATTTTTTTTTTTTTTTCAACGTTTATTTATTTTGGGGACAGAGAGAGACAGAGCATGAACGGGGGAGGGGCAGAGAGAGAGGGAGACACAGAA